CAGCCCAGCTCCAGGTTGAGCTGTTGTTCAGCATCTTAGCTATAGAGGGCAGTGTCACTGGCCCTCATATGTGGGATCTGAACTGGAGCCCTCTGGCATCCCAAGCCAGCTCTTAACCAATGCGCCACTCGACCGGCCCCCATTCTTCATTGTTTAATCCAGGTACCCCAGCAAGTTAGTGGGGGAGGCAGGAGCTGACCTGGGGCTTCTGGGTCTGAGTGGTGTGGGTGATATCACATTTCTTGATTTTATGCATCTTTGTCCTTTTATCCCTCACCATCTAAATGGAACCCCCTCTTGTTTGCAGACGATTTGTCCATACTGCCTGCTATCTTTTGAAGAAAAAAGGCCATTTTAATGCCTTCCAAAAGAATAGTATAAGCACCTTGAGCATGAGAACCTTGTTATTTGCTTCTCTAACAGCCTTCGCTGCACCCAGCATAATGCTGCACACAACGGAAATTTCCCAGTACACGTTCATGGGGCCAGAATGAACTTACTGTCCTTGTGTGGTGTGAGGAGGAGGACCAAACTGAACAGTTACTTCAGTCCTGAAGTTTCTGGAATATATTAATTCATTTTTTAAAAAAGATTTTATTGGGGGATTGGGGAAGGGGAACAGCCAAGTTGTTGTCCTTCAATCTTAGTTGTGGAGGGCGCAGCAAGCTCAGCTCCAAGTACAGTTGCGCCGCTCAGCTCAAGGTGCTGTGTTCAATTAGTTGTGGGTGGGCGTAGCCACCATCTCATGCGGGAGTCGAACCGACAGCCTTGTTGTTAAGAGCGCGTGCTCTATCCCCTGAGTCATCTGGGCCGCAGCTCAGCTCAAGGTGTGGAGTTCAGTTTTTAGCTGTGGGCGGGCATAGCCCACCATCTTGAACAGGCAACCTTGTTGTTAGTAGCATGTGCTCTCACCAGCTGAGCCATCCTGCTCTCATCAGCTGAGTTGGCAGCTCAGCGCGGGCGCAGCTCACTGGTCCATGTGGGAATCGAACCAGCGACCCTGTTGCTCAGAGCTCTCGCTCTTAACCAACTGAGCCACTAGGCAGGCCCCATCTGGGATAGTCATTCTTTTCCTAAAGCTTTTGTCCTAAAAGAACCCTGTGGTATATAGAATAGTGTTATTCCTTCTTCTCCTTGTCCCTCTAGCTTGGGTACTGCCCATGGCACCGGGAAAATGAGTTTAAGATAAAAATGAAATTTTTGTTCCCTTACTTTAATGCCTGCAGCATGAAGCCAATTCATAGCAATGTGGAATTTTCTGGTCTTTAAGATCTCATTATGCAAGTAAAGGAGGGAAAGGAGGAAGACAGAATGCTTACAAATTCCTGGGGGTGTGTGTGACCTCATCACTTATTGTATGTTGGCCAACTGCCCAAGGAGCACAGTTCAGATTCCTTTTGGGGGAGGCACTGAAAATCCCCTGATAACCCAAATTCTCCAAATCTTTTAGGCTTTGAGATGGATTCAGGACCAGATGAAGGAAGTGGTCCTAGGTCCAAGTTATGTTTCCCATTAGGAAAATTCTAATCAGGATTAGATTCTGATTAGAATTCCTAGATGGTCTTGGGAAGTGTGGAAGTTCCATTTAACAGGCTCCGGCAGGATTTGAAGGAATTGAATGGATAAGGATGGGTAGTTTGGGGAGAGGATGCAGTGGGTTGGAGATGATATCTTGGGATGTGTACTCCAAAGGTACATACATATGGGATATGTACATATGGGTACATATTGGGATATACAAACAAGAGGTCAAAAGCCACAGGAGTGTTGTCCATCAAGCACTTCCATATTTAATGGCCTTTCCAGTCCTATAGGCATTTTATGGACCAGGAACTTCCCAGTACTAGCACGGGCAGAGCCACCCTCAGGGCCTCTGCCAGCCCCTAGGATGCTTTTGGGAGAATTTGAAAAAAACTCCCAAATTGGGGAATGAGGCACATGATGGATTTCAGATCACACCTGTCCCTTGGGTGGGGTACAGTGCTGTGGGGATCCTGCCGCACAGAAAAGACCTGCTTGGGTGCAGGCTGGCCATGGTCTCATATATGATCTGGGATTCAGCCTTTTCATCTGGAAAAGGTGAAATTGTATTACATCTACCCCAGCTCCTCTCCGGGTCAGATGCCTCATGCATCTGTGATTCTAGGGACAACTTCTCACCCAAATTGAGAGCTTCCCGCATTTCCAGTTACTTCTCACCTTGGAGACAGCTGGAGAGGTAGGGGCTGGAGGTGAAAGGGGGAGAGGGTTCTGGGGAAGCCCGGGTGTGCAATGGTTTGGTCCAAAGCGCCCTGGACAAGGAGTGCATGCATATTTTTCTGGCGTAACTCTTTTGAGTCTCAGTTTCCGTCTCTGAAATATGGGAATGATACAGCCTAATCAAAGAGAGCAATGTTAGGATTAAACAATTTTGCCAGGTGAAATTACGAGGCACGGAGTGGATACTCCATAATAAGCATTTGCGGCCCCGAAGAGGGGTTGGCTGGGAAGGTTCTAAAGATTGTGTGTGCAGGGACCCAGGCGCAAGGTCTGGCTTGCAAGGCATGCGGCTTCTGGGACTCCCAGCGGAACTCAAACCCCAGCTCTACGGCCACTGCCGCCTCCTCCGCCCGGGCCGCCGAGGGTTAATGAGAAAGCCCCACGCCCCCTTTGACGGCGCAGAGCCCACCTCGCTGAATTTGAAAAGGCAGCCCTGGAGAGGCGTGGGCGCCCCCCAGACACTTTCAGCTCGGACCCGGGCTCTGCTCGCTCGCCGGCTCGCTTGCTCTGCTCCGGGCGGGGCCGCGGGTTCGGTCCGGCCGCCGGTGCGCTCCCGACTGTCCTCCCGCCCGGGACTCCGGGCCCCCGCAGGCGGCCGCGCAAGATGAAGCTGGCTCTCCTCTTGCCCTGGGCGTGCTGCTGCCTCTGCGGGTCGGCGCTGGCCACCGGCTTCCTCTACCCCTTCCCGGCCGCAGCCCTGCAGCAGCACGGCTACCCCGAGCCGGGCGCCGGCTCCCCCGGCAGCGGCTACGGGGGCCGCCGGTGAGTAGCGAGCGGCGGTGGGGCCTGGGGGAGCCGGGCGGTCGAGGACTGGGGGCTGGGGACGCAGGGTGGTCGGGGGCTGGAGACAAGGACAGTGGGGGCTGGGGGCGCGGGGCCCGNCTGCTCAGCTCGGGCTGGACTCGAACCGCTGTTGCTCAGAGCTCAAACTCTTGAGCGAGCTCTTAACCAACTGAGCCACTCGGCCGGCCCCCAGACTCCATATTTTTAAAGGTTCTTTTAGGTTTTGCTTTCAATAGTTTTTTTTTGCCCTTCAAACTTCTGTTTAAGATCATGAACTATTTTGTGGTAGGCATCTATTTTGCTGTCTTCTGAATGCCTGTTCCACTGCCAATGTTTGGGCAAACAAGGTAGGCTTACACTTGTAAGGTATGCTGAGCAAAGAAGCTTTCCTTTTATAGGGCATGCGTGAAATTTGGGGGGTGTCCAGGTAAAGAAGAAAATTCAGGGTGGGCATCTTCCAAAATACCCATATTCTGCTCATATTTTGCCCTGGCCAAGCACAGAATGTTTGGAGCAAAACAAAGAAGCCCTTCTGTTGTGACCGTCCTGCTACTTTGAGTCAACTCCAAACCATTTCTGTGCAGTCCTGGGATTGGAACAGCTGGGAACATAGAGAAATCGGTATGAAAACCACTCTGTTCCTACATTGCCTCCCTGAACTTCTGGGAGAACTGCAGAATCCATATCCTATAGGGCAATTGGGGGAGGGGGTTTCTGTTTTAGATTAACAGGAGGATTTATCATGCCAGAAGGTCAATATTTACCTTGGCTCCAGCTTGATGAGTATTTACTTCTCCGTTCAGTGGCTCTCTCTGCTGACTTCAGCAGAAGTGAAGATCTGCTTTTTGTCTGCCGAGGAGGATGCTGACTGATATTTTCTTATCAGAAAGGCCTGGAAACATAGTTGCGGAGGAGCCCACTTCTCTGGTGGTGGTGGGGGGTGGGTTTGTCTTCTTCCACCAAGAAACCTGATCCTTCTTTGTACAGACAAGCCCGTTTCTAAAGTGCTTCTAAACTTACAGACTAGGAAGAGCACAGGATCCCAGACAAATAACTTCTCTCATCTCCTCCTCTGAAAAATCAGGATTACGAGAGTGCCTGCCTGTCCATGTTGGTGTTGTGGTGAACGGTTGAGGAAATAAGGGCTCAGTGAAGCCCACCGATCCTTGCTTGTCCAATTACCATCTTATCTAGGTTCTGGGGGTTATGTATTCACCAAAGGTTACCAAGGAAGTGAGGAGGAAGGTGCCAGCTCTACAACTGGGACTCCAAATCTTTAACACTTGATTTTTCTGGCTCCTAGGAACAGTGGCCTCTGCATCTACTGAGGTTTTAACATGTATTTAAAGAGTGTGGCGGGCACAGTTCTGAAAAATAGAGACAAACACTTGTGTGGAGAGCTGATTAGAGGCCAACCAGGGATGCTAATGTTTGAAAACGCACTAGACTTTCCGAGGACACTGCTGCGTCCTTTATTTCAAACTTTCTCACTTTTGCACTCACAAGTGTGTTTTATATTGAAAAGTAACATGAATTGTACATTCTCCTTAATAATATTCCCGTTTAGTATTTGTTTTAAAGTGAAATTTTGTTTCAAATTGTTGACCTTGGAGTAAGATGTATCAGGTTAATTAATCCCAGGGCTCCAAGTCTTCTGAGAAAGCTCCAAGCACTCCCAGGTACGAGCCTGCTGGCCCGCCTCACCCTGGGGGCTTGAAAAGAGTGGTGGTCTTCAATTTTATCCCTCACCAAAGCCTTGCAAATAATAATAAATAAGCTTATTGAGTATTATATTGTGTCAGGACCATCATTCCAAGTTATATGAATAATTCATTGACTTCTATTAGAAAACTCACACATTAGGTGCTGCTATTATGATGATGATTTTACAGATGAGGATGCTCAGAGAGCTTAGGTAACTTGTCCAAGGTCACACAGTTGGTACTTGTTAGAGTTGGACTCCACTAACTGGTGTTCTCTGGGGGAGTTTACAGGGCGATGCCACAGAATCCTTCTCCAATCTTCTTGGCTCCCATGGCCCCATTCAGGGGTGCTGCAGCTGAAAATCTTGCCCACAGAAGTGGCGGCTTAATAAGACTGGGTATAACCACAGCTGCCTTGGATAGAGGTGGGAGGATGAAGGGAAAAGTGAATTACATATGGCTAGAACTGGAAAGGTCTTCAGAGACAAGTGAATCCATTCTTCTTTTTTTTTTAAAGATTTTTTTT